AGACACCATGGGCGCGAGATCGCTCTGTAACGCGATAAATATTCGAAGAAATGTAGTTATTATTATGAACCTTTGAGTGATCGTGATAGTTTCTCAAAATGCTCCTGCTCTCACTCCTTTCTCCTTCTCGCCCCTTCCTCCTCCTTCTCCTTTTGCCGCGCCTCCAGCCCTGTCTCCTTCTCCTTCTCCTTCTTCTTCTTTTTCCTTTTCTTTTTCTTTTTATTCTTCTTCTTCTCCTCGCTGTGCTCCTGCTCCCTCTGCTCCTCCTTCCCCTGCTCCTTCTCATGCTCCTCCTCCTGCTTCTCCTCGTGCTCCTCCTCTTTCTTCTCCTGCATCTTCTTGTGCTCCCCCTTCTCCCCCCCCTCCTTCCCCGTAGTGTCTCCGACGACGCAGGAGCTCTACGAGGTCCCCGGCGGTAACCAGGTTGACGGTTTACCGCCGGCGCCCAGTTGACCCACCCGGCCCGGGCGGGCAATGTGTGAACTTTGGCTCGGTTGGGCGAACATTGTGAAAGATTTAAACATTCGTTACAATAACCAGTATTTTTCGCACCTGTAGTGGGGTATGCCGCGTCCACCAGTGAAATTCTCAGGTCCGTAGCTGCGGTATTACTATCAAAACGCTTGAAGCAACCGACTTTCGGTGAAAACTGAAAAAACATATTTTTCATGTGTTTCAGCTCATGCGTAAGAAAGCTTCCCCCATGTGTTGCGAGCAGCGCCGTGCGAGATAAGAGCTCTACGACGCTCCCGGCGGTAACCTGGTGGACGGTTTACCGCCGGCTCCCATTGGGCGCTACCAAGTTGATCGACCCGACCAGAAAAGAAGATGTGACCTAGCTCGAGTAGCAGAGCGAGTTCAGTCCTCTAGATGCATCAGATGAGCGCGCCTGGTGATTACGAATGGGTTTCTGTAAGTATCAGCTCTGTAGCTGTCCTAGAGCTCGAGTTAAGTATAGAAAACCGACAGCACCTGTCAAGATGACTCGAATAATACCAATAGTTTCGCGGACCTAGCTCGCGTAGCAGACCGAGTTCAGACCTTTGGATGCAACAGGCGAACGCGCCTGATGATTCTAAGAGGGTTCCTGTAAGTATCAGCTCTGTAGCTGTCCTGCAGCTCGAATTAAGTACAACAAATCGACAATGCCTGTCGAGATGATTCGAAACAGCCGATCCCGCCGCAATGCTTTTTGGCAGTAATATACCTCGTAGAGCTCTTCGGCAAGATGAGCTAAGAGGAATTCGGGCGCAGGGAGGAGCTAGTTGGCAGACCCGACCTTAAGCGACAATGTGATGACTTGGGGTCAGTTTTCCCAAGATTTGAAAGATATTTGACCATTCATTTTGATGAGCTAGATTATTCTTACGTGTAGTGGGTTATGCCGCGTCTGCCAGTTCAATTCTCAGGTCCGTAGCTGCAGTACTACTATCAAAACACTTGATGGAACCGACTGTGTTCCGAGTCGTCTTGACACGCGTTCACGGTTTTCTGTACTTAACTCGAATTTTAGGAGAGCTACGGAGCTGATACTTACAGAAACCAATTCAGAATCATCAGGCGTGTTCGTCTTGTTGCCTCCAGGGGTCTGACCTCGGTCTGCTACTCGAGCTAGGTCCGCACAAATATTCGTATTCTTCGAGTCGTTTTGACCAGTGCTCCTCGGTTTTCTGTGCTTAACTCAAGATTTAGAGGAGCTACAGAGCTGGTACGCACATAGACCGATTGGGTATCACCAGGCGCGTTCGCCTGTTGCATCGAGAGGTCTGAACTCGGTCTGCTACTCGAGCTAGGTCCACGACGCCATTCGTATTTCTGAAATTCTCTGTACAGGCACTGTTGGTATTCTGTACTTAACTCGAGCTGTATCAGAGGTACAGAGCTGGCAGAAACCGATCCAGCATCATCAGGGGCGTTCGGCTGAAGCATTTAAAGCTCTAATAAGAGTCTGCTACTCGAGCTGGGATCCACAAAACTATCTGTATGCGACCGATTTTTTTCGAACTGATGGTGACATTTTCCATTTAACTCGAGCTGCAGATGAGCTTGAGAGCTCTCCCGCACAGAAATCAGAAGGAAATCATGAGTCGGGATAGTCTGAAGTGTCTAGGTGCTTGGCTTGGGTCTGTTATGAGCGCAGACGCCGCGCAACTAGTCATTTTTTTGTGTGTGTTCTGTTGTGTTTTTTTTGCTGGTGATAGAATTCGTTTCCTGGTTTGAGTTCGAGGTGCAGATGAGCTTGAGCTCGTAGGCATTGCACTGGGAAGCTCATGATGATGCGCGCTATTTGAAAGTGTTTAGACACCCACACTCACACTGCTATTAGCGCTAGGGCTGAATTCTGATTCGTACTGTGCTACCTCATTGGAAATGTTAGTGTTCTCCTTGGTTTTACTCGTGCTGCAGATGAGCTGCGCATCAGGGGCAATCGTAAAATGTATCTAGACGCCTGAGATCATCTGCTATCAGCTCTCGGGCTGAAGAACTTGTCGTTCTCTGCTAATTCTTTGGACATAATAAGAGGAATTCGGGCACAGGATGAAGCTCGTTGGCAGATCCGACCTTAACAGACAATATGGTGACTTGGGGTCGGTTTTGCTGAGATGTGAAAGATATGTGGCAATTAATTTTGTGAAACCATATCTTTCTCACGTGTGTCTGCCAGCCCAATTCTCAGGTCCGTAGATGCAATGTTACTATCAAGGGGGCCGACGTTGGATGAAAACGCAAAAAATCGTATTTTTTGAGCTTTTTTCTTCACGCTTGAGAAAGCTTTTTCCGTGTGTTCCAAGCAGCGCCGCGCGAGAAAAGAGCTCTACGAGGCTCCCGGCGGTTACCTGGTTGACGGTTTACCGCCGGATCCCAGTCTAGCCGATCGAGCTGAGATTAAGACAGCGAGCGGGAATAATATCGAATATGGCCAGAAAAAATACTAGAGCTCAAACGAATGGTTGAATTTCGAGGACAAGATTTTCAACCGAGCAAAAGTCACCGAAAGGTCAGTCGCGATTTTTCTTGCCAACTAGCTCTCCAGCGCGCCGGAATTACTCTAAAGCTTCCAGCAACTAGCTCTACGAGTTAATCTGCTTTCTCAAAATGAATGGTCAAATATCCTTCAAATCTTAGCAGAACCGACTAAAAGGTCGCGAACCTATTCGTATTATTCGAGTCATCTTGACAGATGCTGTCGGTTTTCTGTACTTAACTCGAAATGTAGGAGAGCTACAGAGCTGGTGCGCACATTAATCGATTCAGCACCATCAGGCGCGTTCATCTGTTGCATCTAGAGCTCTGAACTCAGTCTTGTACTCGAGTTAGGTTCGCAAAACTATTTGTATTCGACCGATTCTTCTTTTTCTTGGAAATGATTGTGGATTTCTTCACATAGCTCGAGCTGCAGATGAGTTCGAGAGCTCTTCCGCACATGAATCAGAAGAAAATCGTGAGGCGCGCTAGTCGAAGTATCTAGACGCTTGGCTTGGGTCTGTTATGGGCGCAAACACCAACAACTAGTCATACTCTTCTATTTTCCTTGTGATGGAATTCTTTTCCTGGGCTGAACTCGAGGTGCAGATGAGCTGGAGAGCTCTGAGGCATTGGCATGGGAAGATAATCGTCATGCGCTCTATTTGAAAGTATTTAGACACCCGCGCTTAGTCTGCTATCAGCGCTAGGGCTGAACACCGATTCGTACTCTGCTACCTCTTGGAAGTGGTACTGTTTTTCTTTTTTTTTTTTGTGCTGCAGATGAGCTACAGAGCTGTCCAGCACAGCAATGAGAAGGCAATCGTAATGGGCAATCGTGAAATATATTTAGAAGCCTGAGATCAGTCTGATATCAGCGCTGAGGCTGAAAAACTATTAGTTCTCTGCCAATTCTTTGGACATAATGTGTGGCAAGGAAGCTCTACGAGTCTCCCGGCGGTGAGGTAGACTGACGGTTTACCGCCGGCGCCCAGTTTTTTCTCCGAGCGTTAGTATCTTAACTCTCTTTTGCGAGCAGCTCAGCTCTTTCGAGAGAGTTTTACTATCCAAACATTTGGAGCAATGGACATCACGTTGACACAGAGAAATGCAAATATGACGTTTTTCTAGAAATGCTCTGAGAAGCTGTCTGCTTTTAATCTGGGCACTCTTACGCGTGCAAGGAGCTCTACGAGGTTCCCGGCGGTGACCAGGTTGGGCAGAGTTTACCTCCTGCTCGGCCAGGCCTCGCCGCAGGGGTCCCCCTCGTCTCGAGCTGCATTGTGCAGTCAGGAGTCTTTGGTTCCTCATACTGTACACGGTGCTCTCACTATGAGGGGCGACGGCGGCGCCGCGTTGGTTGCATCTCTTGTGGAGGCAGCGGTCCGCGCTGCTGTTCAGGCAGGTGCCCCGCGCAGGACTGTCGCAGCCGCCGCGGCTGCCGTGGCCTTGGTCATGGCGGCGACGCGGTGTGGCGTTGGTCCGGCGCAGGGCGCCCCTGATCCCGCTGCCGCCGGTTCGGCCGGCTCCCGGCGGCAGCGGAGGAGGCTGAAGAAGAAAACTATGATGTGCAGGTCGGGGCAGGATGCTGTCCTTGGGGGGCCTGTCGGGCAGACCCTAGAGGCTCAGGATGTTGATCATGAGATATCTTGTTATCACAGGTCCAGTGTTGATCATGGCGCCTCTGATTTTCATGTTGGGAGCTCTTCATCTAGGCGAGTCCAGTTTGATGATCGGTCTTCTGTGGTTTCTTATGAGATACCCCTTCAAGCGAGGCTGAGTCCCATATCGAGGAGACCGAAGAAGAAACTATGAGTTGCAGGTCGGGGCGTGATGCTGTCCTTGGGGAGCCTGTAGGGCAGACCCTAAAGACTCGGCGTGTTGATCATGAGGTAGCGCACGTGGGTTCGCACGTTCCTGTTCCTGCTCAGACGGCAGCTGATGTGAAGATGTCGTAGTTGGAGAAGGATAACGAGTATAACATGTCTGTTGTTTTTGCTCGTGTTAAGTCGGCAGCTGATGTTAAGATGTCGGAGGTGGAGAAGGAGAACGAGGTTGTGGCGGGGGGTGGGGGCGCTCGTGCTGCAGGCAGAAGTGGAGGGGGAGTCAGTGTCGACATTGCGGAGTTACTGCGGAGCCAGTTCTCGGCGATGAAACAAGATATGCAACAGAGGCTGCAGTTGGGAATTGAAAGTTCCGAGGAGGATGATTCGCAACAAGAGGGTCCTCAGAGTTCTACTTCCAGGAGTGCATTGACGCGGAGCGGCAAGAAGCATCGGAAACGGCGCAGATGATGCACATGTGATTGATCCTGCACGCTTGATTTGTCATTGCGTTGCCTTTCTTCATGCCTGTGTGTGTTGTCGTGCGTGCGCGTGTGTTGAATAAGAGCTTCGCTTGATCCCTCAAAGTAGGTCATTCGTTGCTTCCTTGATTTGAGTGCTCATTGACCTTTGAACGTGACTTTCCGTGATTTGTCACGTGGTGCCTCAAAGTAGGCCTTTGATCTGGTCGACACTACGGTGGCGCAAATTCGTTGTTGTGTTTCACGTGCAGGGTCTTTCAGTGGTGCTGAGCCGGTAATCGCTATATGTGGTTACTGCATGGTCTCGCATTGCTTTGAAGTGTACTCGTCCTTATAGTTGTTAGTTTTGTGTTTGTCTCAGTGGTGTTGAGACGGTAATCGCTGTATAAACCAGGGGTTACTGTATGGTCTCTCACTGCTTTTATTTTCAGTGGTGCTGAGACGGTAAGCGCTATATGTGGTTACTGCATGGTCTCGCACTGCTTTGCTTCCTTCTTTTTATTCTTATTTGTCTTCTCGCGTATTGGCAGTCTTGTGCATATCTGTACAGCTTCGCTTTTTGATGCACCTCTGCTTTAATCTTTGCAGCTTCGCTGTCTTCCTGTACAGCTTCGCTGTTTAGGTTCTTTGTCTTTAGGCCTGCTCCCATGGGAGCTCGAACCGGCCTTCGCAAAAGACGCGAAAAAGACCAGGTTGTTGCGGACAGGTTTTCTGTGCACACACGTATCGTACTCCACTGTACATCTCGTGTACGGGCCGTCCCATATCTTCGGGTACTTCGTCGGCTGCGACGACCTCCTCTCCGTGGGCCTACAGACGATCGGTGCCAGGTTCTCTGTTGGTGCCAAGTGGGACAGCTCCTATTGGAGCAGGTGCATAGGCCGCCTGCTCTGATTGTACTCGTTGCATTTGTTATCTTGTACTTCCAGGCCGCTTGCTTTGTACTTGTTGCATTGTCTGCTTGTACTTCCAGGCCGCTTGCGTCTGTATTTGCTGCATTTGTTATCCTGTACGAGTTGCTCTCAGCACGTATCCAGTTTTGACTCTAGTTGTAGTTCGAGTTTCTTCAGTACTTTGACAGTTTTGCGACATCGGAGTATCTTGATATTGAGGTCTTTGGGCATCCGATTTCATATTTCGCCTCGAGTGAAGTTCAGAATTCATTGTACTTGATATTGAGGTCTTTGATGTTGAGGTCATACGTCGCCTCGAGTGAAGTTCAGAACTCATTGCACTTGATTTCCACATACTGCGAGTTAGAACTATTGTGATTTGTCATTGCGTTGCCTCTATTCATGCCTGTGTGTGTTGTCGTGCATGCACGTGTGTTGAATAAGAGCTTCGCCTGATCTTCACTTTGTTCGGATAAGAGCCCGCATTCGCTCTAAGTAGTGGTGGGTGTCCTGGCTCACTCTGTATGTTGCGCGTGTAATTCGTTATCTAGTCCACATTTCGACGTTGTGTTTCACGTGCATGGTCTTCCAGTGGTGCTGAGACGGTAATCGCTATATGTGGTTACTGCATGGTCTCGCATTGCTTTGAAGCGCACTCGCTATTTTAGTTCTCTTAGTTTCGTGTTTGTCTGAGTGGTGTTGAGACGGTAATCGCTGTATAAACCAGTGGTTACTGTATGGTCTCTCGCTGCTTCTAGCTTTGCTTCCATATCTATGGCCTGCATTGCTTCACTCATTATATTGTTAGTTGTTTTCTCGTGTACTTGCAGTCTTGTGCATTTCTGTACAGCTTCGCTGTTTGATGCATCTCTGCTTTAATCTTTGCAGCTTCGCTGTTTAGGTTCTTTGTGTCCTGGCCTGCTCTCCAGGGAGCTCGAATCGGCCAGCGCAGACTCGCAGGCCAGGTTGACGGTTCACCGCGGCGCCAGTATTATGTCCAAAGAATTGGCAGAGAACGAATAGTAACTCGTAGAGCTTCCCTTCGCTAGTTGCTGGAAGCTTTAGAGTAATTCCGGCGCGCTGGAGAGCTAGTTGGCAAGAAAAATCTCGACGGACCTTCTGGTGACTTTTGCTCGGTTGAAAATTTTGTTCTCGAAATTCAACCATTCGTTAGAGCTCCATTTTTTTTTTGACCATATTCGATCTTATTCCCGCTCGCCGTCTTAATCTCAGCTCGATCGGGTACCTATTACTGCCAAAAAGCGTAGCGGCGGGATCGGCCGTTTCGAGACATCTTGACACGCGTTGACGGTTTTCTGTACTTAAGTCGAGCTGTAGGACAGCTACAGAGCTGATGCTTACAGAAACTCTCTCAGAGTCATCAGGCGCGTTCGTCTGTTGCATCCAGAGGTCTGAACTCGGTCTGCTACTCGAGCTAGGTCCGCGAAGCTATTCGTATTATTCGAGTCATCTTGACAGGTGCTGTCGGTTTTCTGTACTTAATTCGAGCTGTAGGACAGCTACAGAGCTGATGCTTACAGAAACCCATTCAGAATCATCAGGCGCGTTCATCTGTTGCATCTAGAGGTCTGAAATCGGTCTGCTACTCGAGCTATGTGCGCGAACCTATCAGTATTATTCGAGTCATCTTGACAGGTGCTGTCGGTTTTCTGGACTTAACTCGAGCTGTAGGACAGCTACAGAGCTGATACTTACAGAAACCCATTTAACAGTGTCAGGCGCGTTGATCTGTTGCATCTAGAGGTCTGAACTCGGTCTGCTACTCGAGCTAGGTCCGGGAACCTATTCGTATTATTCGAGTCATCTTGACAGATGCTGTCGGTTTTCTGTACTTAACTCGAGATGTAGGGGAGCTACAGAGCTGGTGCGCACATCAATCGATTCAGCATCATCAGGCGCGTTCGTCTGTTGCATCCAGAGCTCTGGACTCAGTCGTGTACGCGGGCTAGGTTCGCACAATTATTTCTATTCGACAGTTTTTTTTCGAAATGATGGTGCATTTCTTCACTTAACTCGAGCTGCAGATGAGTTCGAGAGCTCTCCCGCACATGAATCAGAAGAAACTCGTGAGGCGCGCTAGTCGAAGCATCTAGACGCTTGGCTTGGGTCTGTTATGAGCGCAAACGCCAAACAACTAGTCATGCTCTTTTTTTTCTTGTGATGGAATTCGTTTCCTGGGCTCAGCGCGAGGTGCAGATGAGCTGGAGAGCTCCGAGGCATTGGCATGGGAAGATAATCGTCATGCGCTCTATTTGAAAGTATTTAGACACCCGCGCTTAGTCTGCTATCAGCGCTAGGGCTGAACACCGATTCGTACTCTGCTACTTCTTGGAAGTGATACTGTTTTTCTTGGTTTGACTTGTGCTGCGGATGAGCTACAGAGCTAGCTGTTCAGCACAGCAATGGGAAGGGAATCGTTGGGGGCAATAGTGAAATCTATCTAGAAGCCTGAGATCAGTCTGCTATCAGCGCTGAGGCTGAAAAACTGTTCGTTCTCTGCCAATTCTTTGGACATAATATATGGCAAGGAAGCTCTGCGAATCTCCCGGCGGTAAGAAAGGTTGACGGTTTACCGCCGGCGCCCAGTTTTTCAGCCTCAGCGCTGATAGCAGAGTGATCTCAGGCTTCTACATATATTTCACTATTGCCCCTTACGATTCCCTTCCCATTGCTGTGCTGAACAGCTCTGTAGCTCATCTGCAGCACAAGTCAAACCAAGAAGAACAGTATAATTTCCAATAAGTAGCAGAGTACGATTCGGTGTTCAGCCCTGGCGCTAATAGCAGACTGAGCGCGGGTGTCTACATACTTTTTCAATAGCGCGCATGGCGATTATCTTCCGTCCCCAATGCCTCAGAGCTCTCCAGCTCATCTGCACCTCGAGTTCAGCCCAGAAAACAAATTCCATCACTCACAAGAAAAATAGAAGAGTTTGACTAGTTCTTTGGCTTTGGCGCTCGCAACAGACCCAAGCCAAGCGTCTAGATACTTCGACTAACGCGCCTCATTATTTTTTCTGATTCATGTGCGGAAGTGTTCTCGAACTCATCTGCAGATCGAGTTCAGTGAAGAAATTCACCAGCATTTCGAACAAAGTCTGTCCACTACAAATAGTTTTGCGAACCTAACTCGAGTAGAAGACTGAGTTCAGACCTCTAGATGCAACAGACGAGCGCGCCTGATGATTTTGAATCGATTCGTCTGCGTACCAGCTCTGTAGCTCTCCTACATTTCGAGTAATGTACAGAAAACCGACGGCATCTGTCAAGATGACTCGAATGATAGGAATAGTTTCGCGGACCTAGCTCGAGTAGCAGACCGATTTCAGACCTCTAGATGCAACAGATGAACGCGCTTGATGATTTGAATAGGTTTCTGTAAGTATCAGCTCTATAGCTGTCCTACAGCTCGAGTTGAGTACAGATAGCCGACGGCACCTTTCAAGATAATTCGAATAATGCGAATAGTTTTCCGGGCCTAGCTCGAGTAGCAGATCGAGTTCAGAGCTCTGGATGCAACAGACGAACGCGCCTGATGATTCTACGAGGGTTTCTGTAAGTATCAGATCTGTAGCTGTCCTACAGCTCGAGTTTAGTACAAAACACCGACAACGCCTGTCAAGATGACTCGAAACAGCCGATCCCGCCGGAGTGCTTTTTGGCAGTAAAAGGTACCCGATCGAGCGGAGATCAAGACGGTGAGCGGGAATAAGATCGAATATGGTCAGAAAAAATACTAGAGCTCTAACGAATGGTTGAATTTCGAGAACAAAATTTTCAACCGAGGAAACGTCAGCAACAAGTCCGTCGAGATTTTTCTTGCCAGCTAGCGCTCCAGCGCGTTCGAATTACTCTTAAGCTTCCAGCAACTAGCTATGGGAAGCTCTACGAGTTATTTGCAGAGTACGAATAGTTGTTCAGCCCGAGCGCTAATAGCAGACTGATTGCAACCGTCTAAATACATACCTCGTATAAATACATACCGTCTAAATAAGTACATTGAATTCCGCAAGATGAGCTAAGAAGAATTCGGGCCCTGGGTGGAGCTAGTTGGCAAACCCGACGAAAAGAGACAATGTGTCAACTTGAGGGCGGTTTTTTTTTCCGGAGATTTCGAGAAAATTTGAAATTCGTTTTGAGAACCAGTATTTTTCTCACGTGTAGTGGGTTATGCCGCGTCTGCCAGTCCAATTTTACCTCGTAGAGCTTTTCGGCAAGATGAGCTAAGAGGAATACCTCGTAGAGCTCTTCGGCATCGATGAGCTAGAGGAATTCCGGCGCGGGGTGCAGCTGGTTGGCCAACCCGGCCCGGGCGGACAATCTGGTGACCTCGGGTCGTTTTTTTTTTTTTTTTTTTTTTTTTTTTTTTTTTTTTTTTTTTTTTTTTTTTTTTTTTTTTTTTTTTTTTTTTTTTTTTTTTTTTTTTTTTTGTTGTTTCGAAGATCGCGGGAGATTTTGAAATTCGTTTTCGAAATCCAGATTTATATTCCCTGCAGTCGATCATGGCGCGTTCGATGGTTCAATTTTCAGGGCTCTAGCTGTATTATTTCGATCAAAAGACTAGGAGGAGCCAACGTTGTGTAAAACCCGAAAACAACATTTCTTGATGTTTGAAGCATATATTAACAAGCCTTGTTCTGCTGTTATCAAGGAACCGACTTGGTCTATTTAGAGCTCTACGAGGGTCCCGGCGGTAACGTGGTTGACGGTTTACCGCCGGCTCCCAGTTCGGGTGCAGACCCGACCTAAAGAGACAATGTGTCAACCTGAGGTCGGTTTTTCGAAGATTCCGAGAAATTTTGAAATTCGTTTTGAGAACTTGTATTTTTCTCACCTGTAGTGGGTTACGCCGCGTCTGCCAGTGCAATTCTCAGGTCCGTAGCTGCAATATTATTATCAAAACACTTGCAGGAAGCGACTTTGGAAAAACAACTGAAAGTCGAACTTTTTCGAGTTTCTCAGGGCACCTTGAGAAAGCGGATTCCATGTGTTCCGAGCAGCGCCGCGCGATTAAAGAGCTCTACGAGGCTGCCAGCGGTAACCAGGTTTACGGTTTACCGCCGGCTCCCAGTCAGGTCTGTAGCTGCAGTATCACTATCAAAACACTTGCAGGAACCGATTTTGGGGAGACATCGAAAGACGTGATTTTTCGAGCTTTTTTCTTTACGCTTGAGAAAGCTTTTTCCGTGTGTTTAGAGCGCCGCGCGAGAAAAGAGCTCTACGAGTCTCCCGGCGGTTACCTGGTTGACGGTTTACCGCCGGCGCCCAGTTCATCTAGCGCCTCTGATGATTCCCTTCCGATTGCTGTGCTGAACAGCTCTGTAGCTCATCTGCTGCGCGTGTTAAACCAAGAAAACCAATAATATCTCAGAGAAATTTGCAGGGTACGGATAGTAACTCGTAGAGCTTCCTTTAGCTAGTTGCGTGAAGCTTAAGAGTAATTCGAACGCGCTGGAGAGCTAGATGGCAAGAAAAATACTTCGTAGAGCTTCGGCAAGATGGGCTAAGAGGAATTCGGGCGCAGAGTGGAGCTAGTTGGCAGACCCGACCTTGAGAGACAATGTGACGACTTGGGGTCGGTTTTGCTAAGATTTGAAAGATATTTGACCATTCATGTTGAGAAACTTTTTTTTCTCACGTGTAGGGGTTTATGCCGCGTCTGCCAGTTCGATTCTCAGGTTCGTAGCTGGAATATGATTATTAAAAGATTTGCAGCAGTCGACTGTGTTCCGAGTCATCTTGACACGCGTTGACGGTTTTGTACTTAACTCGAGATTTTGGAGGCATACAGAGGTCTGAACTCGGTCTGCTACTCGAGCTAGGTCCGCAAAACTATTTGTATTCTTCGAGTCATTTTGACTAGTGCTGTCGGTTTCCTGTACTTAACTCAAGATTTAGAGGAGCTACAGAGCTGGTGCGCACATAACCGATTCAGTATCACCAGGCGCGTTCGTCTGTTGCATCGAGAGGTCTGAACTCGGTCTGCTATTCGAGCTAGGTCCACGACGCTATTCGTATTTCTCAAGTTCTCTTTACAGGCGCTGTCGGTATTCTGTACTTAACTCGAGCTGTAGATGAGCTAGCGAGCTGGTGCGCACAGAAACCGATTCAGAATCATCAGGGGCGTTCGGCTGAAGCATCTAGAGCTCC